CCTCCTAACTGAGCACCTACTATGTGCCTGGTCACTTTCCATTTGTTCTCCCCAGTCCTGAGGACGGTGAAATGATTTAGACGCTTGAGAAATATTTATTCCAGGCTCAGCTAGAAGGGTAAACAAAACAACCCCTCCTTACTAAACACCTACTATGCACCCGTTATTTATTTGTTTTTGTTTGAAGGAGGAATCCACAAATCCTTATGAAGGTGTGGTTGTGGATTCAGTCATTTGACAAATATTTATTGTAGTCCTACTACACGTCACACCTTAGGGTTCACTAGTGAGCAAAACACAGATGTCTTCAAGGATCTTACAGTCTCATGAAGACTCTAAATTCCCCCTGACTAATAAGGAAATCAAATCCCAACTTCTCAGGAGGTTAAGATGGAGGAATGACTTGGGCCTAGAAGTTCCAGGTGTCAGTGAGCTATGATGGCACCACTGCACTCCAGCCTGGGTGACAGAGTAAGACTCTTTCTCTAAAAATAATAATATTAATAATAATAACAATAAGGAAATTGTGGCTTAGAGAAATTAAATAATTTTCCCCCAAAGTCACACAGCTAGTAAATTACAGCGCCAGAATTCAAACCCAGATATGTCTGACTCGAAAGTCTTATCACTAACTGAGCATCTGCTATCTTAGGCACTGATCTGGGGGTTTTCAAACGTAAAAATTCTTCACATAGAAGAGGCACTTGATAGTCTTGCGGAATAGGCTGGGTGCTGGTGGCTCATGCCTGTAATCCCAGCATTTTGGGAGGCCGAGGCAGGAGGATCCCTTGAACCCAGGAGTTCAAGACCAGCTTGGGCAACATGGTGAGAGACTCCATCTCCTAAAAAAAAAAGTTTTGTGAAATAAATACAATGGATGGAAGGACAGATGAATGGATGGAGAGGCAGATGGATGGTGGAAGGATGGATGCATAGAGGATAGAAAAAGAGATAGCTGGATGATGGATAATGGATGGATGGAGGGATTAGTGAATGCAAGTATAGAGAGATGGATGGATAGAAGAATGGATCCATGAAAGGACAGAGAGACAAATGATGAATCATGGATAGATGAAAAGAGATGGGTGGAAGGATAAAGAGATGGATGTGTGAAAGGATGGAGGTACAGATGGATGGACAGATGGAATATGGGTGGGTGTATGAGTGAATGGATGGATAGAAAAATGGATGGGTAGATGAAATAATGGATGGATAGATGGATGGACTGATGGAATAATAGGTGGATGGATGAATGAATGAATGGAGAGATGGATAGCAAGAGAGATGGAAGGATGGACGTAAAAATAGATGGATAGGCTGGGCGCGGTGGCTCATGCCTGTAATCCTAGCACTTTGGGCGGCCGAGGCGAGTGGATCATGAGGTCAGGAGATCGAGACCATCCTGGCTAACACTGTGAAACCCCGTCTCTACTAAAAATACAAAAAATTAGCCAGGCGTGGTGGCGGGCACCTGTAGTCCCAGCTACTCAGGCGTGGTGGCGGGCACCTGTAGTCCCAGCTACTCGGGAGGCTGAGGCAGGAGAATGGCGTGAACCTGGGTGGAGCTTGCAGTGAGCCGAGATCGTGCCACTGCACTCCAGCCTGGGCAAGAATGAGACTCCATCTCAAAAAAAAAAAAAAAAAAAGGCCGGACACAGTGGCTCACGCCTGTAATCCCAGCACTTTGGGAGGCCGAGGCGGGCAGATCACGAGGTCAGGAGATCGAGACCATCCTGGCTAAGACGGTGAAACCCCATCTCTGCTAAAAATACAAAAAATTGGCCGGGTGAGGTGGCGGGCGCCTGTAGTCTCAGCTACTCAGGAGGCCGAGACAGGAGAACGGCGTGAACCTGGGAGGCAGAGCCGAGATCGCACCATTGCACTCCAGCCCGGGCGATAAGCAAGACTCCATCTCAAAAAAAAAAAAAAAAAAAAAAAGATGGATAGATGGATGGAGGCAGGGATGGATGGATGTACGAAGAGATATATGGAAGGGCATAAGGTTGGCAATTTGAATAGCAGATCTCTGTTACAACAATTCTGTGAGGTAAGACATCATTCCAATTTTATAGATGAGAAAACAATAGCTTGGAGTGACAAAGGCAGTGGCCAGAGTCATAGAGCAAGTTGGGGACAAAATCTAGATTCCAACATAGGTCTATCAGACTCCCAAGATGGACACCCTCATGTCACAGTCCCCTCCCAGCCCTCACCCTGAGTACCTTAACATCTCACTTCTCAGATCCCTTTTGACAAAGTATGATGAGACTGAGGGATGGGGTGGTGTCAGGGATGGGAGGGCCATTGGCTTTCAGCAGGTGAATTCATGGAAGCATTGGATGAAGGTGCTGTTAGCTACAAATGGGCCACAGTGGAGATCAGGTCTGGGCACACACACATACACACTTACAGAAAACACACAGCACACAGGGCATCCTACCCATATGTGTACAAGGCAGGCACACACACACACTTTCATAAATACACACTTGCACTTATATGCACACACTTACAAAGACATAACTGTCCACACATATGCACACAAAGATACTTGCACACACGTCTGCACAGATACGTATGCATACACAAAAGCAAAACTCATAGACATGCTCTTGCATACTTATGTATGCATTCTGCAGACATACCATATACACACATTTACACACACCTGCACAGAACACATGCACACAGACTCACATGCTTTCGATGGTGGTGGAGGGAAATTTGGCTTCTGATTTCAACGAGATACCATCTCTCTCCCTTCTCAGATGGCAACGGAAAGAAGACTGTGTCATACTCATGTGTAACAAACTCAAATGCACACACGCAATCTTGTAACACATGCAAACCCATAGTCGGGGACAGGCAATTGCAGACATGTCCACACCCAAGCACAGTCACTCAGGGACACACCCACACTCATTCTGGGATGCACCCTCACACACAGGAAGACACACCCGGACCCCATGCCGGCAGTATACATAAACTTTCTCCACTCCCATTCCCCTATATACACATGGAAACACACACATATAGACACACCAGTACATACCCAAATAATAAGCACTTGATGTGACAGACACACAGAAACACACCGTCTCACACATGGGCTGCCAAGTCTAATCTAGCCTGAAAGCTCTTACCTGTGTCAAGCCCACTACTACCCCCACCAGGGGCTGGATAAAGCCTTCTCAGGTGTCCCCACCACCACCACACACACTTGCCTTCCACCCTAGGGAGCAAATCTTCTTTGCCCCCAGCAAGGAGAAAGAAGCTGCATGATGACCATTTGGGGCTAAGCAACGGAGGGCTGGTGAAGAGTTGGGGCTAAAGAAAGGGAGCCCCAGGCATCGCAGCCTGGGTTTGGGGGACGATTTAGGAGAAGCCCCCAAACAGATGGAACAGGTGTGGGGCTACCAGAGGTTGAGGAATAGGAGGGGAGGGGCACATCTGGAGGAGACCCAGGGAAGTTTGCAATGAAGGAAACCCCTCCCCTCTCTCCCCAGGACACACTATGAACCCCACTGAGTTCTCTCCTTCCCAGATCCAGGGAAGCTCTGTAGCGAGGAAGCTGGAGGATAAAGCCACAAAGGGGGATGGGATAGGAAGGCGCAATCCCGGAGCTCCCGGAGGCAGTGTCAGCTCCGGCCCCAGTCTGCGCCCTTTCTACCTCCCAGGGGGGGTGAGTTATGGGGATAAATATTCAGCACATGGCGAGGCAAGAATGGAGGAAGGGGTGCAGGGGAGAGAAAAAGAGACAAAAAGAGACACAAACTCTCAGACAGCGCCACAGAGCCAGAGACAGAGACAGGGAGAGACAGAAATATTAATAGAAAGAGACCCAGAGACGCAAAGCAGGCGAAATGAAGAGACCCAGACAGAACTACTCAGAGACGCCGAGACGCAACCAGGCAGAGACCTTGAAGATGGAGACACTCGGAAACCCCTGGATCCTCCCCTCTTTCAGAGACAGGGTTTTTCTAAACCCCCGAGTCTCACCGTCCTCCCGCTGCACCCCACTCAGCCCGGACTCAGCTCAATTCCGCAGCCCTTGTCGCCTCCGCCCTGGGGCTGGAGCGAGCCCGGTACACTGTTGGCGCTCAGACATTGCTCACTAATAATAATAATAATAAATAATAACAAGAAGAACCATGCCAAATGGCGCGGAGATGGCTGCGGGTCCCGGGGCTCCTTCTGCCTCCACGTCCGACCCTGGAATCCCGAGAGGGCGTCCCCTACCCAGGCGCGCCGGGCAGGGTCGTGGGGAGCACGGGGATAGGGGGGTACAGGTGGGGGCCCCCGGGGGCTGCGGCGGCGGTACTGGCGGTGGCGCCGGCACCACGCCCCCCGGGAGCGCCCCCCGCGCGGCAGCCACTCACGATTTTCTCGGAGGCGCCCGCACGGGACACGGTGCCGTTGAGCCCCACGAGCGAGGGCAGCGTCTGCGACATCCAGTTGGTGACCATGGCCATGGTGCTCAGCACAGCCCCGATCTTGAGCAGCGGCACCGACATCGCGCCCCCGCCTCATGCCCCGCGGCCGCCCGCCGCGCTTCCCTTCTCTGGCCCGCCGCGGGGCGCTCTGTCCCTCGACACCCAGGCGCCCCGGGGGGCGTGGGGGAGGGGGCACGAGCGCAAGCTGCGGGTGGGGGGGTTCCGAGCTGGGGTGAGGGGGGGCTCGGGCTGCGGCTCGGCGCGCCTGGCGGGCTCCTCTTATAAAGCGCCGGCTCGGCCCCCCGCCCCCTCCAGCGCCTCCGCGCCGGGCACTTCCAGCCGCCGTGACGTCACGGCTCCGGCCCGGAGCCCGGCGGGGGGCGGGGGGCGCCCAGACTGCCCTCACCTCCCCACCCAACGGCCTCGCCCGCTCCCCCGCCGGGGACCGCTCCATGGGGCGGGAGACCTCCCCCTGGTGGCATTCCCCAAGCGCCCCACCCCCACCGCGGTGTCATTCCCCAGCCCCGCCCCCCAGCGGTATTCCCCCCCACGCCGCTCCCCCTAGGCGGTGTTCCCGGACCGCCTACCGCGCGCAGCCCCTCTCCGAGCCCCAGCCGCGGGACCCCGCGCGTAAAGGCGCACTCGGCCCACCCCGGCCACCCGAAGAGGGCAGGGGGCCGGAGTCGCAAGTCCCCACCCACTTACTGTTGGGACACCCACCCTGGCTCCCTAAAACCTCGGAGAGCGGGCACTGGGGGGCGTGGGGGGCGACACGCTCGTGCGCTCCCATGAATCGGGTCACCAAGAATCTCCTTTAGCTGCGGGAAGGGGCTTCCTTCCCAAGCACTGAGACCACTCTAGGGATCCCTCGGTCATTTCGTGCCCCAAGGGTGGCGTGATCCAGGGCCAGCAGACGCAATTGCTTGGGTGCAGGTGCGGTGCTGGGGTCAATTCGGCCACGGGAGGAGTTCCTACGACTACCAAGGGCAGCATCCTACCCAGGGACCGCGGAGACCCAGTACGTAGCTTTTAGGAGGCGAGTCCCAGGCAGGTGTAGACTCGCAACTTTAACTTGGGGTGGGGGCGGGGCACTCACGCTTCGGACCTTTCTCGCGGCCCCAGGGACCCGCTCCCGGCCCGCCCCCTCGGGGGAGCTGGAAGCGCAGTGCCCTCGCCGCCCACCCGTCCGCCCACGCACCAGCCGGCGGCGGCGGCCGCGGGGCCGCGAAGAGGAGCGCCGGGCTGGTTTTAATTTCCTCTGTTTTGCCTGCACTCACGCCCCCTCCTGGCGTCCCCGCGTCACCTCGTGCCGCCGCCGCCGCCGCCGTCGCCCTCAGCCCGCGGCCGCCGCCGTCTGGAGGCGGCGATGACTCAGGCCTTTCCAGGCGACGGCCTGGGGCTGAGGGCTCGGGCTGGGGAGAAGCGCTAAGGATGAGGGGGGAGTGGGGCTGGGGGTCTTGAACAGTCTTTTTTTCTGAGCTGGACAACACCGAGATGGAAGTGTGACCTGCGGGGATGACTGTTCCTCTCTGCCTCAGTTTCCCCATTTGCCAAGTGGGTGGTGGAGACCTAACACGTGTAAAGGGCTTGGTCATCCTGAGAAGCAATTTACTGAGCATCTACTATGTCCCAGGTACTGTGAACAACAGACAAAAATGTCTGCCTGTATGAAATTGAATATTCTTTTCTCTCTCTCTCTCTTTTTTTTTTTTTTGGTAGAGATGGGCATCTCTCTATGTTGCCCGGGCTGGTCTCGAAACCCTGGCCTCAATCGATCCTCCTACCCTGGCCTCCCAAAGTGTTGGGATTCCAGGAGTGAGCCTCCAGGTTGGATGTGAAGATGAATATTCTATGGGGTTAGACAGTCAAGAAATAGGGGGAAAAAGTAAACTACGTAAGATATTAAGAGGAAGGGGAAGTAAACTTTAAACAGGGTGATTGGAGAAAGGGACGTTTAAGCAGAGACCTGAAGAAAGTGAGGAAAGGGGGGCCGGTGCGGTGGCTCACATCTGTAATCCCAGCACTTTGGGAGGCCAAGGCGGGCGGATCATGAGGTCAGAAGATAGAGACCATCCTGGCTAATGCAGTGAAACCCTGTCTTTACTAAAAATACAAAAAATTAGCCGGGCGAGGTGGTGGGCACCTGTAGTCCCAGCTACTCGGGAGGCTGAGGCAGGAGAATGGCATGAACCCAGGAGGCGGAGGTTGCAGTGAGCTGAGATCGTGCTACTGCACTCCAGCCTGGGCAACAGAGCGAGACTCCATCTCAAAAAAAAAAAAAAAAGAAAAGAAAAAAAGAAAGTGAGGAAGGGAACCATTTGGATATCTGGGGGAAGAGAGTTCCAGGCAACAGGAACAGCAAGTGCAAAGGCCCTGGGGCAGGAGTGTTCCAGGACCAGGAAGGAGGCCAGCATAGTTGGAGTGAGCCAGGGGAAGAATAAGGGATGATGATGTTTGTAAAATACTTTACAAGTGTCTGGGACATGGTAAGTTTTTCAAATAGTAGCTACCATTGTTGTTATTATTTGAGGCCGGGCACAGTGTCTCATGCCTGTAATCCCAGAACTTTGGGAGGCCGAGGCGGATGGATCACTTGAGGCCAGGAGTTCGAGACCAGTTTGGTCAACATGGTAAAACTCTGCCTCTACTAAAAACACAAAAATTAGCCGGCTATGGTGGCGCACGCCTGTAACCCAGCTACTTGGGAGGTTGAGGCGGAAGAATTGCTTGAACCCGGGAGGCGGAGGTTGCGGTGAGCGGAGATCGAGCCACTGCACTCCAGCCTTCCAGCCTGGGCAACAGACAGAGTGAGACCCTGTCTAAAAAAAAAGAAAAAAGAGTTCTTACCAGCTTGTTCTAAAGCTTTCATTGATGAGTGCTAAACACTTTGCAGATGCATTGTTAACAGTTGCTGCAACATCCATGAACAGTACAGCGACACTCCTATTTCCAGGTGAGGAAACTGAGCTCAGAGAGGAGAGGGACCCAGATCAGGGGAACCCAGCATGGAAGTGGGGGCCCAGGTTTTGAAACCAGGTCTGTCTGATTTCAGATCCTAAGACCAACTGGGCTCCAGGCCTCCTGGCTTAGACAATTTGGAACCCAAACAAACTTTCTCACTCTCTGGCCATGGGTGCTGTGGGAAACTGCCTTAGTTCAGCGCATCCAAGCTTCTTCAAGGAGTGGTCTGTGCTCAAGTTTGCACTTCTTGCATTTAATTCCTCGCCTCCCACCTCCCCAGCATTTCCAAAACTCCTCTCACCGAAGGTGCCAATTTGCCAGGTCCGTACCCTCATGCCAGTCCTCCTTAGGTCATTCTCACAGTCAGTCAGTCTCCATGCACCATCACCTTCTTGAAACTCCTTTTTCCCTTGACTTCAGAGACACGGTATCACTTCCTAGTTCTGCACCCACCTCTCTGGCTGTGCCGTCGCTGTCTCCTGCTACTCCCAAAAACTCTGTATCTTTCAGGGCTTTGTCTGGGTTCCCTGCCACTCTCATTCTGCCTGGACCATCACACCCACTCTCAAAGTTTTGGCTGCATCTGGGACACTGCTACCTCAGGACCTTTGAACTTCCTGTTCCCTCTACACAAAACACTATTACCAAGGATGCCCCACATGACTTGTTCCTTTACTTAATTAATGTATTTTTTAGAGGCAGGGTCTTGCTCTGTCACCCAGGCTGGAGTGCAGTGGTTTGATCATAGCTCACTGCAGCCTCTAACTCCTAGGCTCAAGCTATCCTCCTGCCTCAGCCTCCCAAGTAGCTGGGACTATGGATGCGAGCCACCATTCCCAGTCCTTTATTTAATTTATATCTCTGCTCTGTCATTGTGTGGGTCAGAGCCATGCCCTGCCCTTCCCCCAAGAAAACTACATTTCCCAGATTCCATTGCATACTGGCTTCCTGTTCAGTTTATCCAATGGGAGGCACTGGAGGGAGATGGGAGCTTGGAGAGGAAGGGAGAAGCCAAGGTGTTTCTCTCCTGTGTCTGCTTGGGGTGAACAGTGTTTCCCAGCAGTGGCTACGCCTCCTCCATAGTCCCACTTCCTACCCAAGGGTCCCTTCCTCATCACATCCCCTCTGTGCCATGTCCCTCCAGTAGTGTTCTGCTGTAGCTTATTCCGGATTTCCTCATCATCCCATGTGGCTTCTCAACTCTTTCTTCTCCCACTTAACGAGTTCCCTGTATTAAATTCCCCCTCTGAAACACAGAGAGTAGTTTGTTTCCCTAACAAGACCCTCAGTGATATGGTGATCTTCTCCAAAGGACCTTCCCTGGCCACCTCAGCTACAATCTGAGCCCCTCACCACTCTCTGCCATTTACCCTACTTCAGTTCTTTTTTGTTTTGTTTTGTTTTGAGACGGAGTCTCACTCTGTTGCTCAGGTTGGAATGCAATGGCAAAATCTCTGCTCACTGCAACCTCCATCTCCCGGGTTCAAGTAATTCTCGTGCCTCAGCCTCCTGAGTAGCTGGGTTTACAGGTGCATGCCACCATGCCTGGCTAATTTTTCTATTTTTAGTAGAGATGGGGTTTCACCATGTTGGCCAGGCTGGTTTTGAACTCCTGACCTCTAGAGAGCCACCTGCCTCGGCCTCCCAAAGTGCTGGGATTACAGGCATGAGCCACCACGCCCATCCGCTGTAGTTCTTTTATCTTTTTTTTTTTTTTTTTTTTTTGAGACGGAGTCTCGCTCTGTCGCCCAGGTTGGAGTGCAGTGACCGGATCTCAGCTCACTGCAAGCTCCGCCTCCCAGGTTCACACCATTCTCCTGCCTCAGCCTCCCGAGTAGCTGGGACTACAGGCGCCCGCTATCTCGCCCGCCTAGTTTTTTGTATTTTTTAGTAGAGATGGGGTTTCACCGTGTAGGCCAGGATAGTCTCAATCTCCTGACCTCGTGATCCACCCGTCTCGGCCTCCCAAAGTGCTGGGATTACAGGCTTGAGCCACCGCGCCCGGCCTATTTTTTTTTTTTTTTTTAAGGCGAGGGTCTGGGCACTCTGTTGCCCAGGCTGGAGAGCAGTGGTGCAATCATAGTTCACTGTAACCTCAAACTCCTGGGCTCAAGTGATCCTCACACCTCTGCCTCCTGAATAGGTGAGACTACAGAGGCACACCACCGTGCCCAGCTAATTTTTTAAGTTTTCTGTAGAGATAGGGTCTCACTATGTTGCCTGGGCTGGTCTCAAACTCTTGGGATCAGGCAATCCACCTGTCTCAGCCTCCCAAAATGCTGGGATCATAGGCGTGAGCCACCACGCCAGACCCTAGAAGTCTTTTTAAAGACCCAACAATTCCATCTACCCAAGAGAAACCAAAGCATATGTCCATGAAAAGACCTACACATGAATATTCATAGCAGCATTGGTTATAATGAATGAAACAATCCAAATACCCATCAACTGGTGAGGGAATAAACAAATTGCGGTACATCCATACAACGGAATGCCATTCCGCCATAAAAAGGAACACGCTCCTGATATATGTTACAATGTGGATGATCCTCAAAAACATTTTGCTAAGTAAAAGGAGACAGAGGCAAAAGGCCACATAGTTTATGATTCTATTTATACAAAATGTCCAGGGAGAACAAATCGATACAGACAGAAAGCAGACGAGAGATTGCTTGGAACTGGGGGTGGGAGTGGAGATGGAATGCAAATGGGCACGGGGGCTGTTTTTGGGGTGATGAAAATGTCCTATAATTGGATCAGGGTGATGGCTGCACAACTCTGTAAAATTTACGAAAAGTCATTGAATGGCATGCTTACACAGGTGAATTTTACACCTGTCTGTAAATTACACCTCCATAAAACTGCTGAAAAGGGAAGATCCACCAGGCGCCGTGGCTCATGCCTGTAATCCCAGCACCTTGGGAGGCTGAAGCGGGAGAATTGTTTGAAGCCGGGAGTTCGAGACCAGCCTGGGCAATGTAGTGAGACCTCGTTTCTTCCTATTTATTTATTTTTTTGAGACAGAGTCTCACTCTGTCGCTCAGGCTGGAGTGCAGTGGCCCGATCTGGGCTCACTGCAACCTTCCCCTCCCGGTTCAAGTGATTCCCTTGCCTCAGCCTCCCGAGTGGCTGGGATTATAGATGTGCTCCATGACACCTGGCTGATTTTTGTATTTTTAGTAGAGACAGGGTTTTGCCATGTTGGCCAGGCTGGTCTCAAACTCCTGATCTCAGGTGATTTTCATGCCTCGGCCTCCCAAAGTGCTGGGATTACAGGCATGAGCCACCACACCTGGCCCCCTGCCTTTTTTTTTTTTTTTTTTTTTGCTACCACACCTGGCCCTGCCTAAAAAAACTTTTTTTTTTTTTTTTTGAGACAGAGTCTTGCTCTGTCGCCCAGGCTGGAGTGCAGTGGCGAGATCTTGGCTCACTGCAACCTCTGCGTCCAGGTTTCAAGTGATTCTCCTGCCTCAGCCTCCTGAGTAGCTGGGATCACAGGGGCGTGCCACCATGCCCAGCTAATTTTTGTATTTTTTTTCTTTTTTTTTAGTAGAAATGGGGTTTCACCATGTTGGCCGGCTGGTCTCGAACTCCTGACCTCAGCTGGTCTGCCCACCTCAGCCTCGCAAAGTGCTAGGATTACAGACGTAAGCCACACCACCTGGCCCCTCC